TTTACAAGAAGTAACTCTCCAATTGAAGGGCAAATAAACCAAAAATAAATACATTCATTAAAATATATCTGTAGCGTATTCTGACCACAGACACATGCCTGTCATTCAGGCCAAGTACAACATTACCAGCAGACAAAGGCACACAAATACTTTCCCAGGGCTACTATTTTTCCAATGTGTGTAGCCCACATGGACTCAATCTACTGTAAAATACTTTATTTTAGCTTGAAATAATTTTCGCTGAAAAGACATTTTTGGTGCTTTGTATGGAATTTATTTTCACCGTTTTTTGACAAGTTGAATGTAAAATATAGAAAAAAAGGTACATTAGCTGGATTTTATTTTCACTGAATCATTCCTTCAGCAAAAATAAAGTATTCTACAGTAGTAGAAATTTACCAAAAATTGGCATTGTTTTTACATTAACCAGTACACGTTCAAAGCTCTGGGTATCTTTCACAAATTGAGCAATGTGATATTTATTTATTTGTGTTCATACTTACTTGCAAATGTGTCACATATTTCTAAACCTGATCGACCACGGAATATTACTATGGGACTACCAACTCCTAAAATTTGTAGCCCACCAGGCCTTCAAGAAATGTTGGTAATCTTGAGCCCTGTTACATATGTGTACGCTACTACTTACACAATCATGGTAGTGCGAACAACAAATGACCATGTAGCTAAACAGAGTTGAAACATTGCCTATCTACACCATTTTAAGTCAAAGTATTAAGAGCTTCACCACTAGAGGGCCAGCATGACTTAACGAGCTTCACCACTAGAGGGCGCTCTAACTTATATGAATCAAAGGATACAAATATATACAAACATAAACCATTAAACCGACTGCAACATAACTGCAAAGAATATTACTGGAATGAACCAAATTTGGTTCCATTTACATTATTTTTAAGTTTTTCAAATAAGTTTAAAATGTTTGCAGTATGAAAAGCCTCTTTTTCTATATGGTAAAATATGACTGGATTAAAAATAAATTCAAGAATTCAGCCTCTTTATGCCCACTGTGATCATTGAGACAAGATAGTGTTCACTCAATAGAGCATTTTTTATTTTTCAATTGTGATCATTCAGACAATATGGTAATGACTAAATGAAGTCGAGCCTCGCTTAATATGCCAACTGTGATCATTGAGACAAGATGGTGGTCACTCAATGGAGTCAAGCCTTCATATGCCAACTCTGATTATTGGTATAAGATGGTGGTCACTCAATGGAATCAAGCCTCGTTTAGTATGCCAAATGTGCTTATTGAGACAATATGGTGGTCACTCGGATTCGGCCATCCATGGATCCAGTTAAACACATCCCACAATTCATTGCAGAGCTCCAGTCCACACTAACAACAGGTGCACGGTGTCCAAGTAATGTCAAAGTTCTTGATAATCCGATGTCTGATAACTGAAATAATGTCAATAAAATGTTTTATTCGATGACCATGCAGCATATCACAGTTGTAAATAAAATATTCTTAATGATATAGTGCATGGGGAAAAATAAATTGTGTCATTTTTTTGGAGAATTTCAGATATCAGCTTACTATTACAAATTGTTACATTTAAACTATCAATATTGCTATTTTGTTTGCAAAAAAATTGGTAGCTGGTAGGGTTGATTTCTTGTTCACAGTAACAGTTTTAAATCCAGACTGAAAGTTTAAAGGCCCAGGTATACTATAAATACGTTCCTAAACAATAGAGATTATTTCCTTGCTTGTCACGCTGTAGTAAACAGCTCCAGCCAAGCTCCGGTAAAAATGCGTTTTCTCGAATTTACAGGTCGATTACGTCTTGTCAAAGAGGATGCATAAGACTATGAATATTACAACAGTGACTGTGTGTAGTATTTATGACAATAAATAGTGTACGAGCTGAGATTTTGGTGGATAAAAGTCAACAACACGAACCGGGGAAAGGTACGCGCTACTAATCTTGAATAATTAACTACTGTCAATCAAAGTCACGTGCTGTTGGATCGCTGAAACAGGATGCGTCATAGGCTATGCAAGTGATTAACAACACTCATTAGCATAGCCACACCTCCAATTCACACTTGCCCGGGGCAAGTGAATTGGGCCTTTAAGATATTGGTAAGATAGCATAATATTCTATCGATAATAGAGGAAAAACGTCAGAAATACCTCCATGCACAATTGGCATAAATTAACATATGATTGATAAACATAGTTGGGGATATTTGTAGCAACTACAGTTGGTTATGTGATAAATAGGCTATCACCTGATATCACTTGTTCATGATGTTGCTAGATACTTGTGACGTCATGAATAATACAAAGAGGATCTCCCATGAATCACCCTATAATATCAGTTTGTAATGTTTTGAGCCTTTAATAAATCTGATAATGAAATGTCATGAATTTGATACTGTAAATGCATTAATTATTCACTGGTTTTTAAGTTCGTGATTTTCATTGATAAATAAAATTTATTAAATTAATGTGAACATGTAGAATAACACCAGAATTCATTTTTTAATTGTCAACTTCATGAACTTAAAATCCAGGGAAATTGCTCAAAACAGTGAAATTAAATTGCAGTAAAAATAAATGGTTTTACAGTGTTCAATTCATTTGATGCATTTTGCATGCATCTGTGAGTGCATATTCGAGACAATGTAGAATGTTCTGACTCATTTACATAAATGGTTGCTGTTCTTTAAACATCAATTACTTTTAGTTTATCATATAAATTGCAATTAAGAAATATAGTTATTTTGTCACTTCACTTCAAACTATGGATGTTTCACATTCCATTACCATTATACATGGGTGGAGAAAATTTATGTGCACAAGGAAGTTGAGCTTGGGAGATATACAAACAAGTGACATTAAGTGATAATACAATACTGTAAAAAACTTTATTTTTGCTTGGATTTAATTTTCGCTGAAGGAATGATTCAGCGAATATACCTTTTTTCCTATATTTTACATTCAACTCAGTGAAAATAAATTCCAAACAATACACCCAAAAAATCTTTTCAGCGAAAATTAATTCCAGCTAAAATAAAGTATTTTATAGCAGTACATACCGGTACACCATATAATATTAGCGGTAACTTAATTGTACTGGTAACCAGTGATACAAATGACAATGTTAATATAAATATTTTATTAACACATCATGGATTGAGTAAAATTTAAATCTTACCTTGTAAATGACCCCTCCATTTGATGCGCATGTCAACACATGGCATCCTTCAACATCAAATGCAAACAACTTTCCCTTTGGTGTATGTACTTGTCTATAACCGCTATAACCAGACACAATAAATGGTCCTGTTGCTCCATCATGTACAGAGAGATCACGAAGCAATCTCCTTCCTGTGTCATGGATACTCCAATTAATAAACTGTAAAAACAACAAAAACATTTATTATCAACCTATGAGTGACAGTGAATCAGGAGTCAATACTTACAAGATTGTACCTGATTGGATACCTAACCCTAACCACCCAACTATCGGACCAATCAGAGAGCAGCTTGCTTGTTGGGTATATATATATATATATATATATATATATATATATATATATATATATATATGCTTTGATTAAACTGTGGATCAGTAGAAATTGAAGGCATACCAGATTGAGTTGAAAATAAAACTGAAGCTCACCTTTCCATCAGCACCCATACTATACACTGAATTCTCATCAGGACTGAATTGGACGGAATAAACCGGCCCATTGTGAGCTTTCCAACTCATTATACAGTCATACCTGTGCATGTCTGTAAAGTAATTATACCCAGTGTTATGATGTCATAGATACAATCTCTACTTTTATCGATATTGCAATCTGCCGTAAAGTGAACGTAAACTACAAACCATATAATCGTACTGCTCCATCGGATCCACCAGTCACCAGTAAATGCCCATTATGATTAAATTGTGTACTGTTTATACAAGCAGTGTGTAATTCTATTGGAACTTCACGCTGTAATTGATTAATCATGTCAATAATTAATTTACAATTGAAATTTGAATATTATTGATCATTCCATCCATGCTGTAAAGCCTAGCTACAATGCTAGTAATATCTCATTACAATCAGGTATAGACTGCCAATATGATTGCCAAACTGAAAACGCAGTAAACGTAAACACTGGAGATTATGTGGTTGTAGACAATTGCCCTAATCTGAATGGTGAATGGGCAGTAGTCGTTGCGCCACGCATGTGCGACATTTGTGTTGATAAACATTTATTTTCCCATAATTCAATGCGCTTTTCTAGTTAAATCACGGATACGAGTTTTGCCCTGGGCGCGACTTGCACTAATTACCGCCAGTGACTTCTTCGATACCTTTCGAACACCAATAAAAAAACCTAATTGAAGCTTGGTAACTTTTAAGTTTGTACTCATTGGTGTGCGCAACAGTCAAAATCGCCATCTTTGCGTATATGAGACCCACGTCTTGCGCATGCGCGGCGCGACGACTATCGCCCTTTAATGAAGCTTTACTAGTATCATGACTAGGCTCCAAGTGAGTGGAAAGTTAATTACGTGCTAGGCTATTTATGGTTGTAAATGATCATAAATGCAGGTTTCTAAATAATTATTATGACATACAAGTATCTTCATCGTCTTCATATCCCAATACCACAGCTTGCCAGCTTTTATGTTTGATGCACTGTGGTATTCTGACAATGTGGTTTGTTCCGCACTTAATATATTTGGTTTCGTAGCTGAGCAGACAAACGAAGACCCTAATGGACTACAACATAGAGATGTTATTCTGAAATGAAAATAAAATAAAAAAAATTTAGTCTCAAAGATAAAAGAAGTTGATATATTACATGTAACACATTTCAAAGGATATAATGTGCACATTACATATTTCTTTGAATTTGCCTGGACGAGCTAGTGTTTGAGATCAAATACTGGTAGCAAATTTTAGCCATGATAAATAACCAATAAGTTACGGGGTCATAAGATTTGCATAACAAAAATAATGTAAACAGAATTTTATAAAATTTTTGATGATAGAACAAATCAGCGAGGTTTGAATTAAGTGAATTAAGTATCACAACCACATACAAGGCAATTTGATTTAGAATTTCAGTAAATGTGTTTGCTATTCTCTGAGATAAAGACTGCAGAAAATTCATGAAGGCAAATCATGATAATCAACACAGCAAAAGTCTAAAAGTTGTTATTATTTATAAGTTGAGGTTCAGTAGAAAGATTTGTGTGATAAGGTGATGAAATACAGCAGTGGTTTTCCCAACAAATGTTGCCAAACTTACTGAAGTAGAAAACTCGCTGGTTAGACGATTGAGACAGGTCGTCCACTTGCAATGTTTTTTTGAAAATTGCCTTTAAGTTTCCTAAATTATTCATTCATATTTTCAAATAGTTTTCTTAAATTACTCACAAAGTATTGAATTTCAGAAAAAAAATTCACTGTGTGAAAAATGCTTAAAGAAACACATCCGCAGATGGGGAAACCATAAAAATTTCACTATCTGGTCCATAAACCCTGGCTCACTTGACCACCGAATAGTAATATTTCTAAAATAATGTCAGTTTAGTAAATGTATCAACAAATAAAACTAAGCTTACATTTGTCTTTTTTCAGAGATGAGATGATAAAAGAGCCAATACAGTATCTTTCTTACCTTGGATATAACTTATCTGTCGGTACTTCATGTAACGTTCTTTTTGCTTCGGTATCGAATAACTTGACAATACAGTTACTACTACCTAAGAGTAACTAAGAAAGACAACACATAAATTAGGAAATCTCATCCAATGACATACCCATATAAAACGATTTGTTGCGACAGATTGCTTTATAAGATGATGTATTGAACTCAC